GGGTGGGGGGAGTGGGCGGGTGGGTGTGCGTCGGTCAGGGGGCGCCCATGCGGGGAGGGGGCTGTCACAAGCTCAGCCAATGGGCTGCTGTCTCCCAGTGAAGCCGTCTCTTTTGTCTGGTATTGAGTCACTCTCATTACCACTGGACCAGACCGGGGGACAATTAACCAGCTGGTGGTGCAAGCAGGCCGAATTACACACACACACACACACACACACACACATACACACACCCTCATACACGCACTCGACACTCACTCACACACTTAAGGAGTCAAAAAGAGACACAAATGCTTTCTGACAAAGTAAAGAATACAGCAAGACGTTATAGAAATAGATAATTATAACACTGTTATAAAGACAAGGAGAAATAAACTGTGAGCACAAAGTGAGTGAATAAATGTTTAAAGGACTGACTTTAGGAGCAGATATTATCTCCAAAACACAAGGGGTGATCATTCAGTGTGGTGGCACCCACGAGCATTTTGAATGGTTTAGAGCCAACTAATTTTAGCCCACTGTTTCTGTTGCTTTCCTCTTTTCGGACGTCACAGCAGGTAAAAATAACAGACGTGACACGGGCACTATGAATAAGAGCGCAAGTGTTGTTTGCAAATACGATTGCACAATCCCCATCCCAGCCAGCCTGGCCCTGCTGTTAATACCACATCCACTTCCCCACGGCGTGGCCAAGTCTCCGCTTCCAACACCAATGACCAGACAAGGAGCATTCTCAACAGCTCATTTGCCACAACATGCCTTTCTACCTAGTTGCCAGGGCAGGACGATCATTAATAACCTTTCAGAATAAATGCCTATCTTTATAAGAACAGAACATCAGGCTGGCAGGTCTATAGTCTGATCTATTTATAAAGCCAAATGTTCCATGGCGACTCGGGGGAACACACCAGTGTCACTGAATAATCTGCAGCTCTTCCTTGCTCCGCCACGTCTTGTATCCACCTCAAATCTGATATCAGGGGGAGAAGATAATGTCCTCTGACACCCCTGGGTAATTGGGCTTACACTCACACAGCATCAGTGGAAAGAAAACAGGAAACAAGCATGGAAGGCTTATCTGGAGTAAAGGAATGGAATCTTAATCTGGTTATTTACAAGATGCCTGATTAGTGTCAGTTTATGTGAACTTTTCTTCATAGAAAAAAGGGTAAAACTGTCCCATTTCAAACTCATCTCCACAGATACACCATAACTATATAAACATCACATTACTGTGGGACAGAGGTAGGAAGTAATAAAGTAGAAATACTCCATTTCTGTACTTTAAACTTTTACTTGCAAAATTCTTACACAAATATCTGTACTTACATTTTAAAAAGAGGCTCGTTATTTCCGTTGTAATGCATTTGAGGGGGATTATTATTTTTTTCTGCATCGTTGCATGCCTTCCAAACATCAAGACCAGTGCATATCACGAATGACAGATGCAACGAGGCGAAAACAACAAAAACAACGTAAAAAGGCCTAACGGACGAAAAACAGACAAGAGAGGAAGTTTCGACCCTGTTTGAAGTTTCAGCTTTGTACAGAAACAGCCGGTAGAAACGTCCTTCAGAGAAAGAGAGTACTTTTATATTTTGAGTAGATTTAGGAGCCTGTACGTTTTCACTTGAGTAAAGAAGTTCAATCAGTACTTCTACTTTTACTGTCTTTTTATCTTCTACTCGAGTAAAGAATGTGTGTACTTCTGCCACCTTTGCTCTGAGACAGTTTTATACTTTTTTACTTTTATACTTTAGTTTATGAAAGAAAGGGGGCATATAGAAGAGGAGGATAGAGAGATGCTAAAACTGGTTTGACTTATCCGATAAAGACTCACACAGAGGATGAAAACTACTAGCTTAAAGCAGTAACAGTGTGAAATGCCTGAAGCTGTATATGGACATGAATGAAGGCCTCGGTGAGTCACTGATGACAACGTTTCTGCAGAATTTCCTGTGCATGTTTCCTAACAGGTGGCCCCCCCACCAACTACTCAGAGCTCCGGCTCCTGTGTGCCGCTTTCATATTCAAAATAGCAATCATGAGTAGGTCATGGTAACACGAATCTCATTCTTTCCAGCCCCTTATTTGTGTTGATGCGCACTCATGAAAACAAACAGCTCCCCCAGTGTGAAGGGCCTGTTATAGCCACGCGCGGCCCCTCATCTCCACTAAATGCTTAAAGGTAGGTTAAGTGTATAACAGAGGTTAAATATGAAAGCACAATGAGCTGGCGGGCTTACGGAGTTGCCTCCTTTAGAATATGTCAGGTGGTAGGGGGAGGCTCTATGTAACTCAGCGCTGAGACAGTGTGGCAGCAGCCCCCTCGTCAGCATATGCTCGACAGATGGAGTCACTCTGTCGGTCGTAGGGGGCCAAAATGCTCTTCCTGACCATAGTTATGTGTGGAATTCCAGTTCCAGCTAGCCGTGTATTTCGATGAGCGTATGTTTGACCGTGACTGACACCGGACGTGTTTTCTGACTCCTCTTGAACCGAGAACTTGTTAATATTAATCATGGGGACCATTACTGTGATTATACACAGGTGTCACTCTTACTCAGCGGCTATTTAGGTGCCTAGAAGTGACACCTGATGATGATTTAAAGAAAAAATAGGATCATCTAATGTATTACTTAGAGTAAGCCTGCTCTTTAGAGGTATTTGGTTGACAACTGGCTAATTAGCAATGTGAAAACCACACTTAGACTGTTATAAACATCAGAACTTTCAATACTGTCAAGAAGTTTCCTCCTTATTCTAATACTACCTCATTAGTAGAAGTGATTCTCCACAGCCCTTTGAAGGTTATTAATAAGAACAAGAGCTAACTGGACCACAGCCATGAAGGCCTAGCTCTTCATTTAACCCCCGAGCACTGTCGTTTTCGCAGGCTTCCAGCCATATCGCTCCTCCGGTAATACCGAGTGAGTACTGATATGTCAATCAAACCCCAATGAGCCAGTGTGTCTGGCCGGGCCTTAAGGTCAAATACTGCACATACCAGGTGGAGCTTTAGAAGTGACTTTGACATTAAACAGGAGCCAGTCATCAAGCCGAGCTCATCTGGCAAACATCCAGGCCATGCCATGAGACAGAGTCGGCCGCCTCCACCACTAAACCTCCTCCACATATACACTAACTTGGTACAGGAGGCTCCGGCCCTGCGTCTGGCTGATGCTAGGACGTGACCTCATGTAGTAGTTACACCTCATGTGATCCAGGGTGTGGCTCGGACTGACAGAGAGCGAGGAGACCCAACATTTGCCAGTGCCACGCTTGTGTGGTGCCAACTGGCCCGAGGCATGGATTTGTCATGACACTGTATACTGCCTCAACATGCCTGCGCCCGTTTGGACATTTTGGTAAATATACCAGACAGCAGACAGGCAGCAATTATTATTTCAAGGGCCTGGGATTATCCTGGAGTCTAATGCTCGTGTGGACTGCAGCCTCTCCAAGTGAGGAGTGACTTATGGTTGAATCATCCAGTCCAGGCCTCCAGCTTATGATATGTATTCTAATTGGAGGGGCACACATCAAAATGTACAAAACAAAGTGTTCCTCTTGGGTGTTGAGTTAACGACACAGAAGAGCGCGGTGCTGCCACGGTTGGCAAGAGATAGCAAGACGCTGTCGTAAAGAAAATATGACAGTGATAAACTCACAACAGCCCTGTGATCATTTAATTGGTCCTTTATCACAGACACCTGTGCTGCTACGGGAGCATAATAAAACCTAATCAATAATCAACCTTATTAAATATTAATTATGTAAATTGCGGAGGGTAGAAGCTAAGTGGGGAGACAGTTTTCCGTTGCCTGAGCTGATTGTGCTCACTCAGCCTCACAGATACAAATAAATTGCTGAGAGGCACTTTTGAGGAGGGCAAAAATAGATCTCAGTCGACTATTTTAGACACTATTGGGGACAAAATCCTTTTAAACTGCACGAGGTGAGAATGAGGAATGACAGTAGCTATATCAAGTGGTTTGAAAACATGTCTGCAGATAGGATTGCTCATATACGTGAAAAACTGTGAATAATTCAAAAGTAAACAGAGAGATTATGATGAAAAACAGGGACGAGTAATCAGTAGTTGGTCTCATCAAGCCACATTGATGGGACATAGGGTAGTATATTTAGTTCATGAGGAGACGCATCTTCCTCTTACGCATGCTGTCACATAACCTTTTATGTGAAGGATAAATTACATTATTTTTCAGTACAGTATCGGAAGTGAAAGTGGGAGTAGAAACTGGAGTAGTCCTTACAGACAGACACAGTTTGTTTAAGCATTATTTTGAACATGGATGTTATCACATGCAATAAAATACAATATACTGCCACTTTAGAGACAGCGACCACTTACCGCTTTGTCAAACTCCATCTCTGAAAAGAATTTATACCAAGGCTCATTCTCTAAATCTACATCTTCTGGACTTACATCCTGAGTCTAGGGGCATGGCAACAAGAAGAGGAGGAGAAAGACAAAGAGAAGACAGTTCAGACAGCACAGAATATACACACCAAGGTAATGAGCCTATCAGACATTGTTGATTGAGCCAATGTTTATACCACAACAACATAAAAGATCAGCAATACTGGAGGTGAAACTACCTTTTACATTCAAGGATAGGTTCACATTTTTTAATGTCTATCTTAAAAGAGTAGTTTGATACGTTGGAAAATTGCTTATTGCAGAGAGTAACTGTCAAAATACTAAACTACAGCCAGCAGCCAATTAGCTTAGCTTAGCATAAAGGCTAGAAACAGGTTGGAAACAGCTAGCCTGGCTTTGTCCAACAGTAACAAAATCTGCCTAATAGTAGTAAAGACAGACACATAACTGCAATTATTATTTTTACACTTTTTTACGTAATAACGTGCCAATTATTGAACTTTAGAGGTGACAGACGAACGTTAGCAGCCTGGCACCAGTCTTTGTGCTAAGCTAAGCTTAGCGACTGCTGGTGCTACTTATATATATATATATATTTATATTAAATGGACAGATATGAGAGTGGTATCAAACTTCTGATCTAAGAAACTGAATAAGCATATTTTCCAAACTACTCTATTAATACAATACTCACATACACATAAGTACATTAATAAAGTCACAGGCTGCTATATAATGTTACGATCCCACCACAGCTCAGCAAGGAAACACTATCCACTGAAATAGAAAGAGGGACTCGTGTACTAAAAAGACTTGGACAGTAGGAACAATTTCAGCCCCCAAAATCTGTTCAATGTACATGTGGGTGTTGCATTAAAGGTCCAGTGTGTAGG